TGTCTACCTTCATATTATCCTGAACCAAGTCCCTGACATCTCCTTACCGCACCCTCAGACAGGGCAGTAGGAATCACACATATGGTCTCCTTTCTTTCTTTATTTTTTTAAAGACATAATTACCATACTGATCTCACCTAAATGATTTCTTATGCATTGAAGAAATTTCTTACCCATTATGTGAGGACCATGGACCTATTGCTTTTGCACCTGACTGGGAGGTAATTTGCTCTGGTAGCAGAAGCCACATTTGACATATGACAAGAAGAGTGTGCATAGTGGCAAACACCTGTATCCTAGCACTCGGGAGGCTGAGGCAGGAGGCTCACTGCAAGTTCAAGGCCAGCCTTGGCTATATAATGAGTTCAAGGCCAGCCTGAACTACATAGCAAGATCCTGTCACACCCACTTCCCCCAAAAGCAAACTGACTGAGCTCTCCTTCTGGGATCTGCCCTCATGAGAGAAAAGCAGCTGCCAGTTGGGCTGGCCATTGCATCTGAAATGTTGCAGGAGAGGCCCTCTGCCACAGCTTGCATTTGAAATGTCCCCCAGAAGCTCCTATCCCCAGCCTGTGGCACTGTGGGGAGGTGGTGGACCACTGAGGAGGTGGAGCCTGCAGAGAGGAGCTTAGGCTCCAAGGCCGAGCTCTTGAGGGGATGTTGGAACCTGGCCCTGCGGTCTCTTCAGTTCTGGGTGGCCATGAGGTGGACAGCCCTGCTCTGCTGTGCGCATCTGGCATTTGCATGATGTGCCTGCAGGCCCAGAGTCACAGGGCCACAGGACCATGGATTGAGACCATGAGCTCAAAGCAACGACTCCTTCTTAAGGTGATTACCTCAGGTGTTAGTCACAGAGACAGAAAGTGAAAGGACTTTCTCTTTATTTATTTATTTTTTTGGTACCGGGGATCAAACTCGGGACCTTGAGCTTGGGAGGCAGGCGGTGGAACCACTGAGCTAAATCCCCGGCCCTTCTCTTTATTTTTTAAATCAGTGCTGCCCTGCAACTCAAGGAGCACTGGGGAAGTCATCGCTGAGTCCCTAGGGCAAGGTCCCCAGTACGCTGTCATGCCTGACCAGACGGAGGGAGGGTGTGGCAGGGCAGGTCGCCTGGCTCCCTGCCCACTGTGCTCACAAGGGGGCCCAGGGTGGCCTTCCCAGGAGCCGCCTGGATCGTTCCCCAGGCTCCATCTCCACCCCGTTTCTCCCAGGTGTCGAGTGGGGCCCAGCTGGGCTTCCTGACACCCGGGGCCCCTGAGGCTGGTGGTCAGACAGGATATGCAGGCCATGCTGGAGCCTTGTCTCCCATCGCTGGAGGAGCCTCAGGGAATGATGAGGTGACTGGGCTGAGTGTCCTCTGTCCCTTGCACCTTTCCCCCACATCCCAGTCCCCTCAGAACGAAGGGTGGCCTGGCAGTGGCTGACCAGGTGTCCCTTGATGCCAGTGCAGCCCAGGGAAAGCAGAAGGGAGCTGCGTTCAGGGGGAGCAGTGAGGTGCTAGGTCTTCTATTGCTGTCTCTCCAGGGAGCCTGTGCTGCTCAGCAGCGGGCCACTGGGAAGATGGAGCACCAGGCAGCGGCTGGCGTCTCCACGGTTCCCTGTAGCAGGACCCTTCTTATCTCAGTCACTTTCTTGTTGCTGGGACGAAATACCTGACCCTCACAACTTGAAGGAGGAGAGGTCCATCTTGACTTCTGTGTTCAGTCCATGGTTGGCTAGCTCCAAGGCAGAAGCAGCACGGTGGAAGGGCCTGAGTGGAGAACAGCTGCTCATCCCATGGCAGCCAGGAAGCAGAGACAGGGGAGGACCTAGGAGGGGTAGACCCTTCCAAGTCATGCCCCCAGTGACCGCCTCTTTCCACCAAACTCTGCCTCCTAACAGCAGTTACCTCTGAACTCCCAGGGGATGAGTCCACCACTGAGTATAGCACCCCATGACCCAATCACCTCTGAAAGCCCCACCTCAGGACACACAGCCTTCTGGGGAACCATCTAGGTCTAAACCATGACAGGCCTGGTAGGAGGAAGTAGGTCATGGAGTCGTCACCTGGAGGGGGGGATCTTGGCCCAGCTTCTCATTTTCTCTCTGCTCCCCAGCTGCCATGAGGTGAGCAGCTGTGCCCCACCATGCCTCTCCTCCATGATGTTCTCACCTGCCACAGGTCCACAGCAATGGAGCCAGCCAACCATGGACTGAAACCTTGGAAACCATGAGCCAAATGAACTTTTTCTTCTTGTAAATTTGTTTTCTCAGGTATTGTGTGACACTAGCAGAAATTTGGTTGCAACAGTGGCCAAAGGAGAGGCCATGGCTGTGAAGGCCTGGGGGTCAGAGGCCCTTTTTCTGCCCTCTTTGGAAGCCTGGGGAGGTGTGTGCAGTTCCCACCCTGGGCCCAGTTGTCCAGGAGCTCTGCTTGTTGACTGGATGGACATTGTACCCTGAAAGTCAGGACAACTGTCTTGCACAAGACATACTGCTCCAGAGGTGGGTCACCAGATGTGTGGTGCTTGTCTGCTGGAATCCCAGTCATGATGCTGGGGGTGTGGCCAGGGGGTGTGGGCTACCATGGAGACAGTTTTGGCTGTGGAGTCCGGAAGTCCCAGGTTCCACTTCCTGTCAATGGAGGGGGTGTCAGCTGGTAGAACAGGAAAAGAGGGAGGTTTGACAACACCGATCAGAATCACAAAGTACATTTCCAGTGACCCAGCACTGCTACTGGCGTGAAAGGAGGAATGCACAAGGAGGTTCACTGCAGCGCCTTTGTAGGAGCAGAGGACTGGCAACCCCTAAATGCCCATCTGCCATGGGCAGGTCCACATGCCCGGGGGTTATATGGATTTTCAAAAAGAGCACGATAACTTTGTGCACTCACTGCACGGAATAATCTTCAGCGACATCACTAAAAGGCAAGGCTGAGAATGTTGTGTAGCATCCTACCCTTTGTACCTTTTTGGAAAAAACTTTTGAAAGAATTAAGATATGTTATGTGCATGTACCAACTCCCCATGATGAGTATAATCATCATGCACTGGAATCATGTACTAATACAAATAAAAACTTCTATGTGCACAAAATGCATAGAGAGGAATTCACAGGAAACTAAGGACTGAGGTTGGCCCCGGCCAGGTGGGCGGGGCATGGGCTCTCACTGCGGGCACCATTGTAAAATCTGAACTCGTGTCATTTGCATGAGTTAAAAGGGAATCAAAGCCACCCTGTAGCATCGATGAATTGTGTGACTTCGGGCAAGTCTCACGCCTTCTCTGCGCTCACTGCAGGTCACAGTGTCCCGGTAAGCATGAGAACTCACGGGCGAGCAGAACCTGGGCGGCATCCGAGCGTGGCGCGTCCGACTGCATGGAATTACGTTCAAGCTGCCATCTGGACACCGGGCAGAACAGCCCGGGCTAGGAGAGACAGTGACTTGAGAGACTGAGAGCGCCGTGAGGGCAAGGGCAGCATCTCCGCCATCTCGGTCCCCTCCGGGGTTGGAGGGTGCGGGATAGGGCTGAGCCTTAGACTGCGCCTTTGGTGTTTTACAGCTCTGCCCCCAGCAGGGTGCGGTGTGAGAAGTCACTGTCCACCAGAGGGCGCCAGCTGCCCTGCCACTTCCTTCCTCACTGGGCCTCCTTTTGACAGATCGGCCAGGGAAAAAGCAAAAGGTGACATTTCCCCTCCTTGTTAGGCCCTGAGGGATTGTCATTAGTAAAAGTGTTGCAGAGCCTGCATAACAACCCTGGGTGTGTGCATGGTGCACCTGTGTGCACGTGTGCGTGTTGGGGGGACTTTGCACTGTGTGCACTTGTAAGGGTGCGTGTGCATGCAGGAGTCTGGGTTGTGAGGTCTAAATCACTTTGGCTCTGCCCTGAGGGTTCCGCTGCCTGGCCTGCAGGGCCCGACCTCACATTTGCAGAATGTGCCCATTCGACGGTGTCCCTGTCCCGGGCTAGGACCTGCTGCCCGTCCAGCCTCCCTCATTTCTCTCTCCAGGCAGAAGGAAGGACCCCACGTCTGGGCACATGGCCCTGCAGGGCGACCGCCCAAGGTGGGCCGGACGGCTGTTCTCTCGGACGCACCGGGCGACGTCCCAGGAGTCTGAACCCAGCCCCCCTGCTGGCGACCCGTGGATCCCCAGGCAGTGGAGAGAGGATCTGCCACAGGCAGCTTGGCTTTTGTGGGTGCTTCAGCCGGGAGGGGCTGGGAAGGCCCCGAGCTCTGCCTGCCCGCTGATCAGAGGGCTCTCGCTGGCTGCGGGATGTGGACTGGGGGACATCGGAAGCACACCTGTGTCAGGTGCTCTTCCGGGGCGCTGCGCACACAGCCCGCTCAGTCCTCCTGGACACCCCGCTGCCGGGCACCCCCATTTCCTGGACAAGGACACTGAGGCACAGTGGCACAGTCTCTCACCTGAGGACCCGCAGCTGGGGAGTGTGGCAGGGCTGAGCTGGAGGGGGGACCCCAGGCTCCGTGACCCCAGGGACTCAGCCGGCAGCTTGCAGAACTTCCTTGAGGTACCCAGGTAGGGGGAATATACTAATATTCCATATAATTTTTGTTTTTGAGTCAGGTCTCACTATGTAGCCCAGGCTGGCCTCGAACTCTCGATGATCCTCCTGCTTCAGCCTCCCGAGTGCTGAGATTATAGGTGTGTCCCACCAAGCCCGGCCAGTACAAATATTAAAATCAAAACAGGGCCAGGGATTTAGCTCAGTGGTTCCTGCGCCTGCCTCGCAAGTCCAAGGTCCCGAGTTCGATCCCTGGTACAAAAAAAAAAATTTGAAAAAGCAAAGCACCCTGAAAATTGTGCCTGGGCTGAGGCTGGAAGGGGGAGGGCCCTCCTGGGAGGAGCCCGGGCCCGGGAGAAGGCGGGTCCACGCGGGGAGGGGCCTCGCAGGCGGGGCGGGAGGGTAAGCTGAGGCAGCTCACTGGCAGTGGAAGTGGGTGGGAGAGCGAGTGGGCGCTGGTGCCGCACTCCAGTTTCTGAGGCAGTGCCTCAAACGTTCGGGCGGACTGGCCTCCTGCAGGCTACCGCTGAACCCAGCCTTTGAAGGGAGACTGAGTCACAGCAGCCTCTGACAGCCCCTGCCGGCAAGAGCCCGGCTCAGAAGCCACTTGCTGGGCGGTGGGGGGCGGGCCAGGCTCCGGGGACTTTGATCCTCAGCCTGGCTGGAGCAGAGCCATGGAGGAAGTCAGCCGCCTGGAGTCCGCGGCAGCTGGGCAGGAGTGGCACCAACGCGAGTCTGGGCCTGCCTCGGGGGACTGCGGCCAGCCGCAGTGTGGCAGGGGACGGGAGGCCACCACCTTGCCTGCACCGCTTAGGCCTTCCAGAGAAGCAGCCAGGCCAGGTAACGCGACCGGAGTTTGTCTGCCACAGGCTGATGTCCCCACTGGAGGGGACCTCGCTGTCCCGAGGGGCTGCGTGGGCTCGGGTGGCCTGTGTGACAGCTGGGGTCCTCACCCTGCGCCTCTCCGGGCAGGGTGGGGTCACAGGTCCCAGTCCCCTTGGAGTTTGAGTGGCCACGCACCTTTGGAAGGGGGACACGCAGCCTGGGGAGAGAGGAGCCTCTGTGGTTTTAAGCCACTGAGGTTTTGGGGTGTCCGCTAGCACCCTGTAATCTGACTTCCCCTGATGGATACGAGGGTAATCGTGTTGGGAAATTCTGACTAATTCGTCACTCGGTCCACGTGTTCCGCAGGCCAGGGAGCCCAATTCATTAACCTAATTAAGGTAACATTTCAGAACAGGGCCTCCGTGGTGGGCAAAGCATCACCAGCTGGGGAGGGGTGGGAGAGGTGGCTGAGCTGCACTGCTGACACCTTGAAGTTCTGAGGACAGGGAGGACCCCGGGGAGTGGCAGGGCCCTGGCTTGTTGCGCACTGCTCCCTTGCCCACCCCTGCGCAGCCTGCAGCAGCACAGCACCTGCACCTTGGAAGTAGAGAAGTGGTTTCCCCAGCGCTGCCCGTGGGAAGCACCTGGGGCTTCGTACCCTGCCGAGACCGTGCTTCTGAACAAGGAAGCCAGAGGCTCTGGGCCGGGGATCGCTGCCAGGTGGCACAATGTGCGGGAAGGTTGACACCCATGGCTGTGTGGACCATTGTCCCTCAACAAGGGGTCCTATTTGAACAGATGTCCCACGATGGCCATTCTGCAGGATTCCTCTGCCCACAGTAACGCTGTGTCTCAGCCTGCGACCAGTGTTGGAGAGGAAAAGTGTGCAGGTTCAGCTCGATTGGCCCAGGGGATTGGTGGCACACACACTTGTTGTGTCTGAGTGGCTCATCATGGTGTGGCTTTGAGGACTATATCTGGTTCCTTGTCCCTTCCTCTCTGCACTGTTCCCTGCTCTGCTTCCTGGCCTCCATGAACTAAGCAGCTTTGCTCTGCCATGCCCTACCACCATGATGTTTCTGCCTTGGAGCTAACTGACCATGGACTGAATCCCCTGAAACCATGAGGCAAAGTAAGCCTCTCCTCCTTTAAGGTGTAGGTGTTGGGTATTGTGTCCCAGCAACGGGAAAGCTGACTAATACAAAAGACTTGCAGATTCATCAAAGTCTCCTTACAGCAAGTACTCATATGGGGTCTGCACTCTTTGGTCTTCCTTTATGCCCACTGCTGTCTCCTTAGAGTCTCACAGGTTGGTCTGGTTCTCTGGGTCCCCTCTGCCACACTGTTGAGTTTGTGAATTGTCTGAAGGAAGATCTAGCCACTGGTGGCTCCCCTCCTCTGCCCTTGGCCATCCATTTCCAACAATGAGGTCAGAATGATCTTCCTAAATATCCATCTCCCTATTTGATATTACATGAAATTTTAAAGTTGCAGTAATGAAAACAATGGGGTATGTGGATGCAGGAATACACATTTTGAAATAAGTAGGAAGCCCAGAAATAGACAAAGAATGCACAAAGGAAGTTGGTGACATGGCAGATCAATGGAGGGAAGGAAGGTTATTTAATAAATACTGTAGCCATGGAACTATGTTTGGACTCAGATTTCATACTTTATACTGAGAATGCCCAAAGAAAATGTAAATGAGGATGTAAACAGACACTCACCCCACTGGAGAGAAATACAAGAGAAAGGTGATGTAGTATTTGATGTGTGTTAGAGGGGAGAATGTGAAAAAGGTGGTAAATACCTTGTTAGAGTATAGGAAAGAAAGCACTCTCATCCCTCATTGCAGGAAGCGTAAATCTATACAAAGGAACCTGGCATCAACTAGCAGAATGACAGGTGACACCTCTGATAGGTGGTTTCAGGCCTCATTTCCCCAGGTATTAAACACCGATCTAGGTGTTGCTCTGAAGGTGTTTTGTACCTGTGGTTCACTCTGCCGTTTCTTGACGCGAAGGAGATTACCCTTGATGATTGATGATGGAGGTGGGTCTCATCCAATCAGATGAAGGGACTAAGAACAAAAATGGAGGTTTCTGGGAAAATCTGTCTCAAGAGGGAAACATCAGTTTCTGCCCGGCTTGTCAGCTGCTGCTGTACAGTTTCAGACTTGCTTGCCCTTAAAGTTGCGCAATTCTTTAAATCTCTCTCGCCGACTTTGTGGTCATATGCCATGGGATTCTACCCAGCTTTGGGTCTCTCTGTTCATTTCTTGGCTCTATTCTGTTTCATCGGTCCACATGTCTGTCTTTATGCTGATACAGTGCTGTTTCAATTCCTGTAGCTTTGCCGTGTATTTTGAAGTCAGGTGTGTAGTCCCTCCTGCTTTCTTCTTTTTCCTTAGAATCGCTTTGGCTATTCAGTGTTTTTTGTGGTTCTATATGAATTTTAGGATTATTTTTTAGTTCTCTGAAGAGTGTCATTGGTATTTTTATGGGAATTGCATTGAATCTAATAGATTGCTTTGGATAATATGAACATTTTAACAACGTTTTTTGATACCAGGGATTGAACTCAGGACCTTGCACTCGCCAGGCAGGTGCGGTGCCACTGAGCCAAATCCCCGGCCCCTAACATTTTAACGATATTGATTGTTAAAGTCCATGAACATGATGTGTCTTTCCATTTTGGGGTCCTCTTCCTTTCACTAAGGTTTTATAATTTCAATTGTAGAGATCTTTCACTCCTTGGTTAACTTTATTCCTAGGTATCTTGTTTTGTATCTACTGAAAATGGAATTGCTTTTTTGATCTTCAGGTAACTTGCTATTGGCATATCTCATATATATATCTCAGAGGAGAATTGAGCCCTAATTGGCCTCGTCTGTGATCATAAAGGAGAAAGGCTGCACTCAGGGGTGATTGCACATTGCAGGTTCTAGGAAAAAGTTAAGACAGCTGAGGTTAAGTTGTTTACAAAGCATGTGCTAATGATATTGGGAAGCAGATGAATCTTGTGTTACCTTGATTGCTTGTGCCTGTGTGTGGGTGAGTAAAGGCAAGATGAGCCAGCCCGGGCCTCCTCTGCCTGCTAAGAGGCAAGAGCCTGATGCCTGGGGCAGGAGGGACCTGAGACTGACAGCTACATATATTCATATATACAACGTAGCAATATTGTGATTTTTTATATGTTGATTTCTATCCTGCAACTTTCCCAAATTCATGTATTTTTTTTCTGAGTGTTTTTATTTGTTTTTTAGGTACCAGGGATCAAACTTGGGTCCTTGGACTTTCTGAGTGTCTTTGGTACAGTCTTTGGAGTTTCTACGTGTAAGATTATGTCATCCACAAACAGTGACAACTGACTTATTCATTTCCAAGGGGGCATGCTCATTGCAGATTTTATAGGGAAAGTTCTCAGCGTTTTCTCATGCAGTATGTTAACTCTATACTCCTTATATATGGCCTCTATTATGCTGAGAGTGTTCCTTTTATACCTAGTTTGTTCAGAGTTTTTTTTTTAATCATGAAGAGATGTTGAATTGTATCAATGGTTTTCTTCTGAATCTGTTGAGACTTTCATATGCTTTTGCCCTTCCTAGGATGTGGTCTATTAGGCTTATTGATTTGTGTGTTTGGAACCATCCTTGTATCCTGCAATGACTCCCACTAATAATGAATAATTGTTTAAGTGTACTGTTGGATTTAGTTTGCTAGTTTTGATTAAGGAACTTTGCATCCATAAAATCAAGATATTGGCCTCTGACTTTCTTTTTCTGTTGTGCCCATCTCTGATTTTGTTATCAGGGTAATGCTGACCTCATAGATTGAATTTCTTCTTTAGTTTTTTGGAATAATTGAACAAGAATTTGTATTTGTTCTTTTTAAAATATTTGATAGAATTCACCAGTGAAGATTTCTGGTTCCTGGGCTTTTTTTTGCTGGAAAACTTTTGATTATTGATGCAATCTTATTCACTATCGTGTATTCAGATTTTCTGTCTCTTCAATTTTGGTAAGGTGTATGTGTTTAGGAACTTATTCTTAATTATCAAATTTGGTGTAGAGTTGATAATTTTTATTTTGTATTTATGAGGCATCAGTTATAAAATCTCCTTCTCACTTATGATTTTATTAACTTTAGTTTTCTCCTTTCTTGGTCCAGCTAAGGGTTTCTCAATTTAATTTATCTTTTTAAAAAACTGATTTTTTTGTATTGTTTTCAGTGGCTTGTGTTTTAGGTTCTAATTTATTTCTGAAATGATTTTTATTATGTATTTTCTTATGCTAGTTTTGGGTTGGGATTGTTCTTGCTTTTTTTTAGTCCCTTGAGGTGAAATCTGTCTGCTCACTGATGGTTACAGATGTCTGTCTTGGTGTTACTTTTACTCTTTCCCATAGGCTTTAATATGTTCTGTTTTCATTTTCATGTGTTCCAAGGAACTTTTAAGTTTCCTTTTTCCTTGATACATTAGTTGCTGAGAAGTCAGTTGTTTAATTTCCATGTATTTGTGTAGCTCCGAGTTTTCTTGTCATTCATTTACTTGTTATTGCATTGTGGCCTGATAAGATATATCCTGGAGAATGTTCCATGTGCCTTTTGAGTAGGCGATTCTGTAGGTGTGTTCTGGCTCCTCTGGTCTAGAGTGCTGTGTAATTCTGCTGTTTCTCTGTTGATTGTCTAGGTGTCTAGGTGTCCTGTGCATTGCTGAAAGTGAGATGTTAAAGTTCCTTGGTGTTGTTTTATTGAAGTCAGTCTCTTCTTTTAGGCCTATTAATATTTGCTTTATATATTTGGCTGTTCTGGTATTGGCTATGTATATATTTACAATAGTTAATTTCCTCTTGCCAAATCAATCTCTCTTTTCAGTATATAGTGCTTTCCTTAGAGGAACTCCCTTCATATTTAGAGTTTGGCTGAATGGGATCTGACTGGTGACTTTGACCTTCCTGTATCTGGATATTTGTCTCCTCTAAGTTTGGGAACTTTTCTGTTATCTCTTCAAAGAAGCTTTCTACCCTTTTGGGGTTCTCAAGTTCCTCTTGAACCCCAATAACCTGAGCACTTGCTCTTTTCATGCCATCCCCAAGTTTCCTTAAGAGTTTTTTATTCTGCTTCACTTTTTTCCCCTCCTCCATCTGTATATTTTCAAATAGCCTATCTTTGAGCTCACTGGTTCTTCTAAGCTATTCTATCATTGATGCCTTCTATTGTATTTTAAATTTTGCTTAGTGTACATTTCAGATCAAGGATTTTTGGTTGATTTTTAAAAATTACTTTCATTTCCCTGTTAAGTTTCTCCAGTAGAACACTTAATCATATTTCTGTGTTTTCTTGAAGTTCACTGAATCTGCTTAAAACAATTACTTTGAATTCTCTTAGAGTTTGCACATATTGATTGCTTTATGGTGTATTTTGGGTAACTTATTTTGTCTGTTAGATGAAGTTATGCTTTCCTGAAAGTTTCTGATGCTTGTCAACATATGTCTGTACTTGTCCTTCCGGAAATTTTAAGCAGGCTGGTCCTTTTTTCTGAGACTGCCTTTCAGGACTAGATGGCTCTTTAAGCACAAGTTTACTGCAAGTTCATGGTTGGTGTTCGTCACTGTTTCAACATTAGAGGGAAATCCAATCCCAAGTTTGTCCTAAACCCACAGTTGGTGTGTTCTTCAGAATGAGCTAAGAGTACCTAGGAAGGGCAGTCTGTTTCAGCAGGCTTTCACCCATATCCATGGGATTCTATGCACTTTGGACCTCCCTGTGGAGGTACTGGCTTCAGGCTCCTTGGTGACTTTCTTCCTCTTCTTTCACCAAGCAGATAATTACTCTCTTCAAGTTATGCTTCTTGTGATGGGGGAGGGATGGTGTAGCCAGCCCTGTGGCCATCCATGCTGCAACACTGTTACACCCAGGACCCAGAGCTGCCTGCAATCAGCATAGCACAGGAGCAGGACCAAGGCCCATGCTGCTGTGAGCTGCCCACTGCTGTGGCCTCTTTGTGGCCAGAGAGTGCTGCATTCAGCCACAGATGATGTTGACTGGAATAGAAGTCTGAGTAATGGGGGCACCTGGGCAGGTCCAGAGGCTCCGGCTCCCGATGGGACCATTGGATCTGCCCAGTGTTGGGTTTCACTGGCCTGGCACTTGAGTTCCCATGCGTTCTTCCTGCACACTTCCTGCTCCCGCCCCTGAGAAGCTGCAGCCTTACTTTGTGTTGTCCTGTCCAAGGCAGGGGAGGGGTGGTAGAGGCAGTCCTTTGGTCCCCTGGGAAACACAGGTCTGGCGGCTCAGTCCACCAGTGGTACTCAGCCTGGTACTGAGTTTCAAGTCTAATGTGTGGACTTAGATCCCTTTCCCTCCCCAAGTGGGAGTCCCCTCTCTCCATGCTGTGCTGCTTGGAGTTGGGGGAAGAGTAATTCAGGCCACTCTCTCTTTCCTGTCTCCTTCAATGTGTCTTTTCTTAATAATAGGCTAAACCTAGGTAATATGGTCTCTCACCTGGTTTCTTTAGCTCTTGTAAGGTAGTTTCTTTCTGTGGGCTGATGATTGTAGGAGGGTCTTACTTAGCTACTGTCTTGGTTCATACGCTAAAAATGGTCCTTGCTTCTGGTGCTTTTGGTGGTGATGCAAAGGCAGGAGAGGAGGCATAGAAGGCCTGTGCTCTGCCCTGTTGGACATAGCTGGAGAGAAACGCTTTGTCATGTATGGATTGCATTCTCTCACCCATGTCCTGCTGTCTTTGCACATTTGAATGAGTAACAGACTCATGGGCTAATGTTAAAAGAAACCCAGCTGGGTACAGGGAATTAATGTTGATTCTCTTCCCAGTGGTCAGATCTGCGTAAACTTAACGGAAAGCAAAGTGGTGAGGTCCAATTGGACAGATTTGATTTGGGAGTTTTGTAGGTTCATCTGACCTCATTTGTTTGCTCCTGTTAAAAGAGTTTTATAGGGCCGGGGATTTAGCTCAGTGGTTTTGCCGCCTGCTGAGCAACCGCAAGGATCCGAGTTCGATCTCTGGTACCAAAAAAAAAAAAAAAGTTTTATGGCACAAAACAACCTGCACATTTCTCCTAAGGACATTAGAGCAAACAGGGACACTCGGCCGGCTGTGCCCCTGCAGGAGGGTTCACTGGCAGCTCCAGTGCCAGTATCTCTTAGGGGACCCCTTCACTCTTCAAGGCTCAGATCTTGTTTCTCCCAGATCCGACTTAAAAAAAAGTCAAACCTCAAAATGCTGTGCCACACACTGAAAAACATGTACTTTGAGTCGAATGTAAACACAGAGCAGTCTTTTTATAAAGCACAAGCTTTATAAAGTCGCCAAGATGTTCCTCCCCTGGTTTTAAAAAATTGAAGTAGAAACCACTTAAGAGTGAAAAATGTTCCAGGCAGGAAATTCTCAGACATTGAATTCCTGGGTTTATATCATAGAGATGTCAGCGTCTGTGGACCAGAACCCCAGGGGTGAGGCTGGCTGTAGGGAGCCACTGGGCCAGGCTGGAGGCTGGGAGAACACAGGGGACATCATTTGCCCCAGTGGGGTGCTCAGCTCTCACAGGATGGCATGCTTAAGTTTTGCCAACACCCAAGTGCCTCCTCATCCATATTTGCATTCTCCATTCTCAACCCATCAGGGCCAGGCCCTGAGGCTGGGAACGTGGAAACCACACTCCAAGGGTTGCTTTGGAAACTGTTCTGAGATACTCATTTCCGAAGACTTCCCGTTCCGGATCTCACCTCCCACTAGCAGTACTGGACTCTTGTTTTCTCCCCCATCTCCCCTTTCCTAACTCTTGTTTTCAGTCCTGGGAAATGACTAGGGATCAAGTCACTCGTTCTTGGGTCAACTTCTAGGCATCCCTCAGAACCAAGGCTCTCTGTAGGAGAATGGAGGGTGGGGTCCAGCCATCCACTGGTGGCTTCCACCAGACCCCCGGTGATCTCCCACAAGGACCCTGCAGGCTCACCTGAGCTCTGAGGGAAGCAGAATGGGGTCCTCTGGAGGGATTTGACAGCGTCATTTTGCCTGTTGAATTTAATAGAACGTGGTGAGGGAGATGTTAAGTTTCATTTCATTTTTATTGTATCTTACAAAAGAACCAGACTCTGTGAGCTGGTAAAACCAACCAGTACCACAAGTGGAATTTACAGATGGCTTGAGCAGCAGTGTGGGGAGGCAGAGACTGGGGTGCCTGGGAATGGTGTGTGTAGAAGCCCATGGAACTCTCTGCAAGATGGCTGTGCGGGTTTAATGTGCTGGCACTGCCTGCTGGGAAGGGGGATATGACAGTGTGGGTGCTCCAGGGTGGTCGGGTCCAGGCTGAATCTCTCTGCTTTCCCAGAGAAGCATCAGACTATGGATAAGAAAGTGCTGCCCTGGCTCTCCCTTTAATCCCTGGGGATAAAGTTCAAATCCTCTCTCCTTTGCTCATCTCATCTTCCTTTACAATACTCCAGCTCGTTCGGGTTCCTAGAATTCAACTTTACGAGGAACTTCACATTAGATCTTAGCTTCCAAGGCATTTCTTTATGATTCCAGGGACTAATTTGGATGTTTCGTGTCTCCGGAGCAGCTGAGGCTGGTAGAAAGGGACTCACTTGTGCGATCATCACAGTGTCAAATTGTGGCTGCCTCAGAGAACCCTGGGATTCCTAGGTTATGGTGGCAATACTCTCTACTGCCTGTTTTCTTTTTACTTCTTTTTGGACTCAATGTCCAATTACATCAACTTTGAATATCACAGGCCAAAACAGAACGGAAACCCTGAGTATCCACCTGATGGCTTGAGTTGCCTAGAGGCGGACGGACGGTGAGGTCACTAACTTCATCAGGTGGGCTAGTCCGTATGAGTTCATTAGGAGGTGGGGTCTAACTGGATGAAGCAGGTCACCGTGGGTGTGACTTTGAAGGATATATTTTGTCCCTGGCCACTCCTTGCTCTCCTCTGTCAAGCCCTTCCACCATGGTATTTCTGCTTTGGACCTAGCTGGCTGTGTACTGAAACCTTTGAAATTGCACGCCAAAATGAACCATTGCTCCTCTAAGTTGTGCATTTCAGGTATTTTGTCAAAGCGATGGAAAGGTGACTAATGTGGTTCAGTAACTTGTATAATGTAACATAGCTAGACAATGCTAAGGTCAGAATGCAAATCTGGCTGTTCTACAGCCATATGCTTAACTTTAGAACTTACCTTTATATAGATTATATAGCAAGGTAGTATTACAAGTGTTTCCATTATAGTCCATGCCACGTGGAGGTAAAACTCCAAGGAAGCTGCTGTTTCTTTATACCACAATTAAGGTGTGACTTATTTCCAAGGCAGTAAACATGGGAGGGTGCTATACAATAGTAACTGCAAGGTTATAGAGTTTGATTTAGAGACTTGTCCCTAACTCGGGCAACAACATTTATTGGCTCTTCTGGGGACAGATCAAACTGCCTAAATTTTGATACCCCTCTCTCCCAAGCCGTTAAGGAAGTATAGTAGCTCATATGTGAAGACAGTTTGTATAGCAGGGTCAAGTGAGAACATTAATGGATTTCATGTTTCTGCTTTCTTACTGGCTTATTTCTAAGACTCAGTTCTTGCTTACTAATTGATCATGCTGACAAAAGAATAAAAGACACACACCAGTGTTACAAAACCTTGTATTAATCATTTCCCTTTCACTTTCAATATAATGTTGATATGAAATATAGCCATGATTCTTAGTTACATGGAGGAAATGAGTAATAAATACATTGTAGCAAGTTTAAACCACAAGGGTGTTTCACTGGTAACATTTGAAAACTGTACACTTGCAAAGAACAGCATCTTCAAACATTAGTATATCTGTATATCAGTAAAGCTTTTACATGTAACAAACATGCTGTTTCCATATATGACAAATTTAAAAAATATGCATTGCTTGGCAACATGAACTAGGCAAAAATATTTCTTTGTTCACTAACTTTATACAGGAAAACAGGACGAAAGGCATGCATATACAATACAGATGCCTGCATGGGGCATGCAACAAAAGAAAGCTTTTTAAAAGTCAGCTTACATTAGGCATAAATACATGAGGGTTATATATTAATAAGGGAGGAAGTCTTCTGTTTGACATTATTAACATTCCTGTTTTCTTCCTATTCCTCCCAGAGGAATACACATTCACCTTTAAGTAAAGATAAAGGGATTACAAAAAAACCCAAAAACTCACTTTGCAAACATCTCTGATGACTTGTGAAAAAGAAAGAGAACACAACATTAGTGTTATCACAGCTCCATGTGCAAATGAGCCTTCCGCAGGTGCTGCTTGTAAAAGGCAGGCGCACCAAGCGGGTGTCTCCTAGAGGCTGCTCCCCGAACCCAGGCCACAGCAGGCAGCGGCGCATAATTTGGGGGAAGCGCACGGGGCCTGCGTGTCCTCCCCTCGCTGCCCTTCTGTGGCCAACGGCCCAGGTTCCCGGGGGTACGCATATGCAAACCTTGCACCTGTGGCAGCTACAAGAGGTGCAGAACAAAGACCCGGAGAGAAGGCTCCCACTGCATAAAAGGCAGCCACCTCAAAAGGAAACCTGGTTTCCCTCAGTGTCACTTCAAGCGAATGGGAGGTGGACCTGGGTGCAGCTCTGATCCCAAGTACCTAGGAGGGACCCACTGTCTCTAGGATTTGAGAGCTTGGTGCCAACAGCCCCCCTGGCAGGCAGACCCAGCAGAGTCCACTCGGCTCCCTGGCTCTCGCTGAAAAAGTCAAACTCAAAAAGCAAGTGGAAAAAAACGTATCAGCAGCATGTTTCATGTCTTGTACACAATTCATGTGTTTCTTCCTACTGTTTCTGGTAAGAAACTACTATGAGTAAAAAGCACCAAAAAACATCGTACATGATAACAATATTGTATACACCGCCGTCCCTCGGACAGCATAGAGATGCCGGCACACACTGCTTAAATCAGAACAAGGGGGGAGAAATCCATGTAGTGAAATAGATTTTACTCTGAGATTTTAAATTGTTTACTATTAATATAAAACAGTTGCATTGGGGGGGGTCAATGGGTAAATACAAAAAAAGGCACTGCCGCTTTATTACTAAATATCCGACTTCACAGCCTTAGGCATGCAACTGTTGGATTCTTTTATAAATAAAATTCTTTTTGCTTTAGGATTTTTAAATTGAGCTGTATACCTGCAGTCAACACAGGACTCAAAACAAGGCGGGGACAGGCTCCTAGAATTCATCAGAACACTCAAAAAAGGAAAAACAACAACTAAAACACTGACATAGCAAAAAACACAACTAAGTAGATAAATCTATACATAGTCAATGAAAAATAAGCTTTTCTTTTCTTTTTTAAAAAAAGAATTATGTTGTTATTAATAACAGACTTTATCATGGTTACCAGCCATAGCAAGTTAATAAGTAACATATCCAAAATAATATCTCTAATAATCAGATAACCATTGTTTCTATATTCAGTGAAGGAATAAATAGAAATTCAGATTTGCAAATACTTTAAGGTCATCTTCCTTTTAAAGGATTCATGCTAAGGTGATTGTGTTCACAATCTGTTTTCTGGATGAGTCTTCATAGACGTACGTACGGGTTCTGCTGCAGATCCAAACAGTCCTCCTCCTCTCTCAACATGTAAAACCATCATTTTCTCTCCTCTTCGTTAACTTTCTCAGCATGCCCAAAACACATCCTCAAACCCTCTGGCCTTACCTCTGGCCTTCGACATTTTGCCTTACTCTTCCTGCCTTCCAGGTGATCGTCCATCCCTGCACATTCCTGACATTATGCCGTGCTGACAAGGAATGGCCAGGATGGATGTTAATGGCACTTGGTTAAAAAAAAAATCAACTAAAAAAATGCTGCCTTCTCCTGCACACAGATTTACACCTTCAGGACTGAGTCACCCACGGAGGGGTAGGAAGCTTCTGCTTTTCCTTTTTAACAGCACTGCATGCAATTATGGACTCCAACTTCCTGTGCTCACCAAAGGCTCCGACTGGTTACCGTGCTCTCAGCTCTTCGGGTGTACATTTTTAATCTTGAAGGTAAAAAAGCTGTTTGGATTTTATCAAGGCCATTTAAGTCTATGTGTACTTCATTAACTCTTCTTTAGAAAAATAATCGTAAGCAAGCGCAGTAATTTCCACGGTCTGATCTCTTTGACTCTGACTTCTCTTAAGAAAAAAAGCACCAAATCCACCCATGTAATACGCAGGCCTTGTACCAGCTCCCTGATCGCGCCTCCGGCTGAGCATTCATACCATCATTTACACAACCCAATTTTCCAGTGCAGAGAACAGTTCCTTTTTGCTTTCCTCTAATTCCCTTCACTGTGTCAAATTCTGCAACAGTCTTTCTTGCCCTTAAGAAACAGAGCTATTACTCTGTGGTACCACAGTTTGTTAATCTCTCACCGTGTAATGGGTGGGGTTTTTGCCCTTCTGCGTGGATGGAGAAATCAGCGAACAATATGGCAAATCTGACTGACTCGGTCTGGATGGAGCTGTCGCGCTTCACCTTTCCTACTCCTGCTCTCCGTGGCCACCTGCACAGTGGGGCTGGGCCACGTGGCCCAGTGTCTCTCTGCACCCTCTGACACTTGCTGGCTGGCCCTCTGGCCACTGTTGCTGGGCGTTTCTCTCCTCCTCCTCCTCCTCAGGGCCAGAGTGAAGGGGCTGCAGCCCCCAGACTCAAGTTCCTATGACCGACCCCACTGTAGACATTTCGAGCATATCCTCCAGGCATCAGGCCTCTTGCCAGGGGAAAGCATCCAGCGGCGCCCTTCCTCCTCCAGGGGAACTTGCACTCACCTGTGTGTTTTGGAGCAAGGCCAAGAGGCTGGGATGAAGCCCATGGTGGGTGGGAAGACAGAGGTCTTTAGATGAGAAGCAAATCCAGCCCAGAAAGAGGCTGCAGGCTTTTTTAGACTCTCTGGGTGACCTGTGAGTGGATCTGAGATGGATCACATGGTGCCTTCATGCTTTACCCTGGCCTAGTCTTGTGCTCTTTCCGGAGTCCACTCACATGCTCCGCCCCTTAATGGTGAGAGGCGACAGCTCAGGCTTGTGTGACTACATCCTTCTTCCCAAAAAGCAGAGCTTGGCAGCTGTTTTAAAAGACAATCCTGCTGCTATTATAAAAATAGAGGGGAAAAAAATGAATCCATAACAATAGATCCTTTACAAAAACCATAGTATGAAGAGAAGTTCCACCCAAACTCTTTACACATTATGTACCCTTTAAAATTCTTATGTAAACAATACACAAGTCAAAGTTTATCTGAAATTTTGCTAGAGGGAATTTCTTCTTTCTTGCCCCTGTTGCCATGTGGCCCTCTTGTGCAGCTGTTTCAAGCAAGCCGCTCAGGGAAATCCAGTCAGGGGAGACACACACAGACGAGCCACCATCTTGCTTTGGTCACGTGTATCCTCTTCTATGGCCTGACGGGGAAGCCAGGTCCTCTGAGGGGGCTCCCCAGGTCCTGTCTCTCTCTCATCTCTTTCATGGCAGTACCCTTCCCCCCCGTTTCCACCTAGGAAGCCACTTGCATCTCTCCAACCCCTCTCAGTCCCCTATTTCCCTAGAGACCCCTCCCAACCCTGCACACCAAACTATCCCATACAGAAACAAATGACAACCAATCCCGGGTCTACTGATATGTTTACAAGGATGACCTACACTCTCACAAAATCAAAATGGGCGAGGGACCAGGGGGAAAAGGCTGCAAAATATCTTGGAGGATTCTGTGCAACCCTGAAGTCAAGTTCACAGCCAGTGCGGTCCCTCTCATCTTCAGCTTCTAGATTGTGGAGGTCCGGTCAACCCCATCTGGGAAGGAAAGCACCACACCGAGGTTAGAGGCGAACAAAACCTTTCCATGTTGCCCCACAGATACCAATCTGCACGTACATTGTGTCCCTAGACCGGAAACAGATAAGGGATTAGTTTACAAATGCTACTCAAAATCTGAGGAACAGCTACTTTTGCCGGGGGTGGTGGTGGTGGTGGTGGTGCATATTAAACCTAGGAGCCATGATGAGAAGATGGGATCCTCACCTCCTAACAGGCCAGGCAGGGTGCAGACACATAAGGAGATGACGAAGCTTCGAGTGACCATTGCACGAAGGAATATGTACCAAAACAAAGAACATGGTGGAGGGAATATTTAAGTTGGCCATAGATACAGTCAGTTTCAGAGAGATAAAAATGACTTTTGGAGACCATGCTGGTAGGAGAAAGAATTTTCCAGGCAAGAAGGATGTAGGAGGGGGTGGCGGGAAAGGGTCTTTGGCACATGCATAAGCTTGACAACAATCAAATGGTGGTGCTGGGTCAGAGATTTAGGATTGTATGGTTTAGATCTAAAACACCCCCTGAGTTTGTGGAAGGTGATTGGATCATGGGGTGCAACACTCATCAGTGGATTCCATGGATGAGTTCATGGATGAGTGCGCTGTTAGGAGGTGAGGCTTGGTTGGAGGTACGTTACTGGGGATGTGACCTGGAAGAGTAGATTTTTTTTTTTTGGTACTGGGGATAGAACTTGGGTCTTTGCGCTTGTGAAGCAGGCAACGGAACCACTGAGCTAAATCCCCAGCCCAAGAGTAGATTCTTGACCTTGGCTTCTCCCCTCTCTCCTGCCTCTTGGGTGCCATGAGTTGAATAGCTTTTCCTCTACTATGCCCTCTGGCATCCTGTTTTTGCTTTGGAGTCAGATAGCCATGAACTGAACCCATTGGAAAGGTGAGCCAAAATAAGCCTTGCTCCTTTAAGGTGTAGGTGTTGGTATTGTATCCTAGAGACAGGAAAGTAATACAAGGATGAAGGGCAGGGGACTGAGTGGCAGGAGATGGGCTGAAATAGACACACAAGTGACCTGTATAGTTCATGTTCCCCTCACCCCAAGTCCCTCATGAAAGACTGGGGATGAAGTGGCAAACCAGGGAGATACAGCTGATGCACACTGATCTCCCCTCTCTGTTCCACAACTCTGATCAAAGGCGGGCACACCAGAGGCAGATGGGTGGTCACTTGGCCCCGAGAGAGCCTGTGTGAGTAGGAGAGGACAAGGCCACCCTGGATCTACCATGGCCCCAGATTAGAGAACTGGAGCTACAAAGTGGGGGGCAGGCACATCACAGGGGCCATGAGTGAGATAGATGGCCAAGCTGTCTGCTTATGTAGCATCTCAGGGGAGTCCCTGGAGCAGCCCCCAAGGGTCTCTGTACCAGGAGCAGGAGTGTGGATGCTGTAGCTGGAGAATGACCAGCCAGCTCTGGTTTTACAATGGCTCCTCTGGCGGCTGTGCCAGATGGTTTGAAGGAGGACAAGGCAGGTGGCAGAAGGGCCAGTTGAGAGGACCCTACAGGGGCCCATGCTGAAGTTGACAAGGTGCTTGCCTAGTGGGCAGGAAGAGGCACAGATCAGCCAGCATAGGCAGGGGAAAGGCAGTGTTCAGTGAGCGCTGGTTGAGCCCAAGGGGGTGCTGCAGTGCCTACCAGCTTTGGCTGATACCTTAAAGCCAGCCAATGTGGCTCAATCCAAGCCCCAACATGGTGGTGCTGGCCTACAAGACACAGCAGGTCTTTCACTAGGCAGAACTTGGCGGGAGCGCGTTCCAGGGAAGAGCTGGGGGTGGGGGTTAAGAGGTCTGGAGAAGTGACGAGCCCACCCAGGGCTTCCCTAGTTGGCAGCTGGGACTTGGAGGAGAAATGCTTCTTTAATTGAAATTCTTACTGGGCTAATAATGAATGGGTTCATGTACAGCTGTAAAAACTGGTCTGGAGACAGGCCACGAGTACCCTGCCAGGTTCCCCCCAGTGGTGACAATCTGCAAAAGGACAGCATAGTAACACAGTTAAGACACCAAGCCGGATACAACCCACTGGTCTTATTCAGCCATCTCCGGTTTTGCCTGTATTTGTGTGTGCATACTTGCTAAATTCCGTACAGTCTGGGGAGAAGTTTTTAAGAAAAGCAGCGGCTCTCAAGAGTGTTTGAGCTGTTAGAGCATCAGTCCTAGAGGACCACAGGTGTGGACTTCCAGTTGCTAACTCCTCACCTTCTGCAGGGTCACCCTGAGCCTTCTGTATTGTGGTGCTGCAGCCATAACTGGTCTTGGGAGATCAGGTGTGCATGCGTGTGTGCATACACGCCCATAGGTGTGTGTCAAGGTCCCATGTGCTGGGAGACTTCCCTCATCTCTGGAACACAGTGCACACTCTTGCCAGGGTCACTCGCTGAGGCCAAACCTCTATAACTATAAACAGGCGGAGCTAGAAACACAAAGATCTCAACTAACCCAACCTGAAATGCATTGCAGGACTCACTGTCCAAGGCTGACTGTCCATCTTCAGGAAAAAGACCAATGAGGGAGTCCAGAGTCACTACAGCTGTGCAAGCTATGTGCTGACAACTCCAGGGGGCGGCACGCCCATGGGACCATGACATTTTCAACAAATGCCAGCTCAGCGCCTCGATAAAGGAATTTACACAAAGTCTCCAGTTCTTAGGAGCTGGTAAGTCCCAAGAAAGCGTAAGTAGAGAAGGTGAGAAGAAAGAGCAAGGTGAAGTGTGAATCCCAGAACCTCAGAGGATGCACCACGTGTAACTCTCCACACATGACCCTCGACATACTGCAAGAGGATCTCGCTTCTGCAGCTATGAGTGCCTCTGCCTACAGGGCTCTCTGCAGGAGGAAGACCAGGGCCAGACTTGGCATTTCACTTTCCCAAATGCCCAGCCCACTAACCAGGGCAAACCCAACAATGCTTGATGACTGCCTTAGAGATGTGGCAACCAATATGGCAGAGCCACCCAGCACCCCAGGGAGAAGAAACAGTATATGGGGAAGGAAGGCCAAGGACAAACCTGGCTGGGCCCAGCACCAGGAGGGTAGCAGTTACTGGAGGAGACTGAGAAAAGCCCCAAATTATGGGCACACAGGACCTGGAGGTTCTCCTAGAATGGCTGCCCTGAGATGTGATGTCCCAAGACCTCGATACTGAGTTGCAAGCAGAGATCTGCTTTTACTTTGTTTTCCTGCCCCTAAATGGCAATTCACTGGCATTCTGTCCCCAAAGTCTTTTTCCCTGCATCCTATCCTGGAAGGGGCCAGCCAGCAGAGCGCTGTCCTCGTGGCACGACAGACACATGGCCACAGTGCCAGCCAGGCCACCCTGTGCTTCATTTCCATCCTCTGCTCAGGAAACTGCTTACACAACTTCCCAACAGAGGGGATTATTGAGAAAAAACACAGCAATAAAAGGGCTTAGGAGATTAACAAGATGAAAACATTAGCCAAACCCCATCAGTTCAGAGAGGCATTCTGTAAAAATAGAGCAGGTTAAAAAAAAAAAAAAATGAAGCCTTTTTCACGAAGACCTCGCCTTAATAAAGAGCACTTGGCCTTCTTGTCACTGATGATGGTAATGTTAGGACCCAGCAGTTTGAAAAGCTTCCAAAATGCCAATTATCAGAGCTCTACCAAACCTCAGGGAGAAGGGCCATGGTCCCGCTGACTCTGCAGAGCCGGGCTCCCTATCCCTCGGGCAGGAGGGCCTGGGCAGGGGCCAGTGTGGACTCAGGAGGCGCTGTCCTAACTCACGACCCATGAACGGCATCACTTCCTTTGAAAAGCTTAAATTGACAAAGCTGCAGACCATAAATTTCACACTGGTTTTTTTTTTTTGGTACTGGGGATTGAACTTGGGTCCTTGCACTTGCGAGGCAGGCGGCAGATCATGCTGGTTTTTGTATAGTCACAAAGGCATATGACCAGCAGCGCTCTCTAATGCCAGAGCATTTTCATCAGCCCCAAAAGAGATCTCTTATTCCCCGCCTTGAGTCACGCTCAAGTCCCACCTACCCAGCCCCTGCGACACTAATGTGTGCCCTGTCCCTGTATGTAGACCAACCTAGGCTGGGCATTTCATGCTGACAGGCTCCGACACTCACTGAGTGTCATGTTTTCAAGGCGTGTCCACACAGCAGCAGGATGACTGCTGCTTTCCCTTTTAAGGCCACTGGCTCTGCTTCACATTTCCTCAGTCCCTATCCACCAGGACCTGTTAGGGGCCGTGACCTGACCCAGTCTCCTTGGTAAGGCAGAGGTACCAGGCATGGCCCAGTGAGGCTGTCAGATGTCTAGGACCCGAATGGCCAGGGAGAGCAGTGGTTTGCAAATGGCGTTCCGAGGCACCCCCGGGGTGGGGGAAGCTGCGGAAGAGGTGGGGTCTTTTCTCCACCTGTTTGGTCATGACGGCTCTGGACCCTCTTGGTACTGAAGTTGGGCAGCTGTCGCCCCAGACCTCCACTCTGCTCCATGCAGGACATTTATCTATTTCATATTTGGTTTCAGGATAAGATCGTGTTTTCTGGGACTAAAAATCAGAAACCCCCAGGTCTGGGGACAGAGCTGTCTGGAGAGGAAGCTGACAACAACAGCCTTTCTGCTCATTGCTGCCAGGGGGCACAGGGCTTGGCCCTAGCTGGGTGGTGGCCTGTCCTGGGGCAGGAACGTGTGTGCAGACTGGAGAGGGCTGAGAAGGCTCAGAGTCCTAGGAAAGGCGAAGACGTCGCTCCCATCCCTTGCCTGCTTCCTGTCCACAAATATGTAGCTGATGAAAGGTGAGTGCTTAGAGCAGGGCATGGAGGGACCCCAGGACGACTGCAGACCAGAATCTCCAGCCCATCATACCCAGCCCTGCTCCTGGCTTGGCTGGGGACAGGCGCATCCAACCTGTCCCTGTGACATGGTGAGGGACAGCTTGGGCTGCTCAGGGCTCCAGGCGTCAGGCAAGCTGCTTGCAACAGGGAGTTAGAAAAACAAGCAGGATCTTTGTTTCAAAAAAACTATTTTTAGAGCATGCTGGGATACACTTGGCTGGGCCTTGGGGACCTAGTGCCGAGCAGGAAAGTGTCCAATGCTGCAGTGGATGTTCCCACTGAAAGCCACTCCAGCTCCCGGTGTTGGCTGGGACTTGGGCAGGAGCTGCTGGGGACAGGGGCAGGGCTTTGTGTCTCTGGAGCAGTGCTGAGAGCCGTGGGGTAGGAGGCGGCCAGATGCAGGTCATCCACACTTGCCCATTCTCTCTGAGCCCTTCCCCTTCCCGAGCTGCCACCAGGGTGCGGACGGCAGACAGCTCGGGGAGCGAGACTGGAAAGGACACTCACCTCCCAGGGCGTGCTCGGTCATACTGAGGCACAGGGACTCCAGCCTGTTGTTGATGTCGGGCTCAGTCACTGGAAGCTGGAATTCTGCAGGGACAAAGGGTTATGCTGGTGACAGGGACTCTAAGGACAGGAGAAAGGATGGCGATGCCACGTGGCTGCACCGCCAGGTGAGGCCTCCCCAGCAGGACATGGGGACCTTCGGGGCCAGCCTGAAAGACAAGTCACACAGGTCGAACCGCTGTCTGAGGGCTGTCAGACTCTGCACTGTGGCCACAGGTGCTGGAAGAAAACTGGGGACTAAAAATAGCTGCTCAGAGTCATGGTCTCTCACTGCCGCTCAGAAGCCTCCAGGGGCAAACTGCCTGAGCAAGAGCCAACCCCGGCTGAGGCCGGCAAGGTCCCACGGGATCTGGTCCCTTGTCACCTCCCTGCCTCCTAACCTCTCCCCTGTCCCCTCCTAAGCCCTCTTTCCTACCCCAGGGCCTTTGCATTGCAGTTCCCTCTGGCCAGAATGCCAGTCCACCAATGTTCTTTTTTTTTTTTAAGAGTAGGAAAAATTTATTGGGAGAAAGAAAGCTTCTGCCTAAGAGTGACAGAAGGGTGGACCGGAAAGGAGTCCACCAATGTTCTTGTGGCTCTGTCTCTTCCTGCCTTTGCAGGGTGGGCTCCACTGTCTCCTCAGGAAGGACTCAGCCTCCACTGACACAGACACAGTGAACTTAGCTCTGCTTCCAGTGCCCAGGCCCAGGCCCGTGCATCTCTGCTTCATTAGAAGAGCAGGTAGGACACACCTGTTGAGTGAGCCGGGCAAACCCAGTCCCAAGGTGGGGATGGGAGAGGCCAGCGGCTAACATGGAGCAGGGACAAGACCTGGGTCCCCAGAGCCAGTGACCTGCATGCTGACTGTGAGTCCCCACCCTGAGCTCCAGGCACTGGGGCAGGGCAGGATGAGATGCCCACTCCGGGGCACATCTGCACCCTCCCTCTGGGGGCAGCCCCGGAGCCCCATCCTCTTCCCTGCTGGGCCCTGCCCCTCACCCCTTGGGGCCTGTGAGCATCTTTCTTGTCCCACATCTCTTGTAAGATTCATACACAGTGTGATTAAAAAATATGGTGAATGATTACACTAAAAAAATTTACCATAGTACTGATCCCCTTCAAAATACTCCCCCCTTGCTTCAAACACACTCATCCCACTGTTCTTGCTGCTTTCTGGAGCAGCTCTGGAATCCTCTTTCCTGAGTGTCTTTAGTTGTGCTGTCATGGCTGCCTTAATGTCCTGAACTGATTCAATATACTTCCCTTTCACGGTCATTGTGACTTTGGGGAAGAGCCAGAAGTCGCATGGTTCCAGATCTGGTGAATAAGGTGGATGAGGACACAGAGTCATGTTTTTACAAGGCTGCCTTTCTGTTGGATGACGCTCAGCAGCCATATTCACTATATTTTTGATCATGCCTCCTAAAGACACTCAGGAATGAGGACTTCCAGAGCTGCTGCAGAAAGTGGTGAGAACCATGGGAAATGGGAGGGGGTGTTCTGAGGGGCCTCATAGCAGCCTTGATCACTGTAATACAGTTTCAATCACTGGAACATGTACTATAATTTGCTCACACCTTGTAAAAATGGATCGAAGTGGAAGGGAATTCTGGTGGCCAAACACCATGCAGTCCTATGAAGGGAGGCGGAAGAAAGCTCTGGAGTCTGGTCTAGGTGACTGCCAAGTTTCAGCATTGCCACGCCTTCCTGTGAGACCCTCCCACCGCTGTTTGCTTCCTCCCGCCTCAGTTCCTCCCCCTGAAAACAAGTGGGGAAAACTCCCCCGCAGATTTCAGGCCATTTGCCCGCTTCCTCACTTCTCCACCAGGGGGCACATGAAGGACGTTGGTGGCTTGGTGGGACAGGAAGTGGAAACCAATGGCTAAACCAAAAAGTATCCGTTTCCTTTAACTTAAACTCTTTTGCAATATGTGTTTCCCAGTTAGTTCAGAGGCAGATGTTGTTTCCGTTATTTAAAATTCTCAAAGAGAAGGTGGCAAAATGGATCGGCAGGGCAGGCACAGGGGAGCAGACTAAGTTCGCTCCTGAGTGGACAGGGCCATTCGAGCTCCCAGGGAAGTGGGGAGCCAGACACAATGACAGGAATCTCTCCTGTGCTCACCCACTGGTTGCTGCTAGGAGCGAGGTTGGGGCAATTAGACAATCTTAACAATCCCAGAGGGAAGAGTATTTTCGTATTTTCATCCATTCATGTGAAAATCATATGCATGGAAAAAATTAGCCTTTGGGGTGTGAAATCTATAAAATAGAAACACAATTTTATATATAGCTAGTTAGCAAATATGAGAAAAAAAAAACCTCAGCAATTATAGCCATCCATATGCTCATTGTAAGATTTCGTTTACTCTCTAGCGCTCCCCTTTAAACAAACACTGTGGAGAGATTTGGATAAATAAAGATGCTCGACATTTGGAGAGAAGTGTCTCAGCTGCAGGGTTTCTTGCCAGTATGCAGCAAAGTGCCATTTTCCAAGCTCGGGATTGCTCATTCCAAAAGGGGGGCTGAGAAACGTAGGGCTCTGTGCTCCAAAATCTCCGCGCCCTGGTGGCTGCTCTTTTAGGTGGCAAGTAGGGGAGCTTGCTTTGCCGGCCGTCCCCTGCTCTGCCCTGGGGAGCCGTGACCCCGACATGCTCTGAGCAGTTCTAACTCTCAGGAGAAGCCCATATGTTCCCACTGCAGAGTTTCCCAATAGTGTGACTTTTTAATTGTGTATTTGATAAAAACAGATCCATGGCATCTCGCCGTGCACAGAAGACAGAGGGAGATGAGCTGGGTAGATGGCAGCTTCCATCATAGGCTGCGGTTCTCAGCCGTGTGTGGTGTGGTGGGCAAAGCTCTCACTAAAGCCAGGGAGGGGCATTGGGCAGCTCCTGGCCCGTGGGCCCACACGAAGTGCCAGGCCACCTCTGCTGTTGCTACTAAACCCGAAGGCTCCGTCACGAATCCAGCCTCAGCTGCAGTGGCCCAGGCAGACACAGTGCGAGGCAAAGGGGAAAGACCCGCGCCACCCAAGCCTCCTCGTGGTGTCAAGGCAGGGTGGCTCTTCAGCTCACGCACAGCTCTGAGTACAGGCTGAGCAGCCCTTATCTCAGAATCGGCTGTCTGAAGCTCTGCATATAGACATGATGCGCCCACATTTTAGATTTTGAAGCATTTCAGATTTTCAGGTTAGGCTTGCTTCATTGTAAAATCTATGCAAATATTTCAAAACCTGAACAGCTCTGATCTCTGAAACACTCTAGTTCCAAGCATTCTGGACACAGAATTCAGCCTGTACTAGTGCTATGGTTTGGATCAAGGAGGTCCCCTGAAGGCTGGTAGGTGGGGCTTTTGGAGGGTGGCTGGCTTGTGGCGCTTACAGTGGACTTGCTGTTGGGAGGGGATGTGGTCGCTGGGGGTGGGGCTGCTCCCCTCTGCTTCCCGGCCACCCTGCCATGAGCAGTCTTCCGCCGGGCCCCTCTGCAGTGCCGATTCTGCTCTGGAGCTGACCGACCGTGAACGGAGACTGAGATAAAATAAGCCTTTCCTCCTTTAGGTTGAGGGTGTCAGGTTTGTGTCTTAGCAACGAGAAAGCGATGAAGACAACTAGAAATTCTTCCTTTCCTCACCATTAGAGCATTCCAGAATTTAGTGAGGATTCCCAGGGCAAAGGCTACCTCAAGTCTTTCTAGCTGTGCCTTTTCAGACGCTGTACAAGTACACAGCAGTCCAGTCTCAGGCCCGGGTTATGATGCCTCCCGTGGGGAAAGCTCCAGCTCCCCAAGAGGTGTTGTCGGTGCAGGGTCTTGCCCGAGGAGCCCGTGTGGCTGAGCGTCACATCGGTGGCACCCAAGGTGCAATTCCACAGTGCCCTTTGCCAGGGCTTGAAGCTGAGTGTCACAAGCAGATTTATTGAGGACTTTAGAGCAAGTGACAGGCCAGGCGGTCCGGGGAAAGGTTTGGACCTCACTTTGCCATGACGCTGAGCCTGCTCTGCTGAGTAAGGAGAAGGGGCAGAGCTGCTCCCAGGTAAGGGGTCGCTCTCCACACAGTTCCCAACATGCTCCCCAGCCGGGAAGCCCTTCGTGCTGGGTTCCACACTCATTTCAAGCTCATGTCCCCCAGGGTGAGTGAGTGAGGTCTCGTCCTCTCGCCCCAGGGGCCCAGCCGAGTGTTCCTCACTCATGGCCAAGGCCAGTGAGCTGTTGTCCCCAGGGGCCTTGGACTGTGCACTCAGGAAGAGGGAAGCATTTGGAAATCCAAGCAGGGTGGCTGATCACTGATTCAGAGCCCAGGGTGCTCTGTATTCTTTGGTGATATTTAAGGGCTTCCATCAAGATGGAGTGATTTTTAAGTTCACAGAGTCAATACTTCCTTTGAATGCACAGTCGTCTTCGAGATTTGCCCATGTGATTTGAAATAAACGCTTGATGGCATCTGAGGGCCAGAGGGAAAAACATTACCTTCTACTGTAAGGCCGTTTTCTGAATGTTCAAGTTTGGATTGTGGGTCAGTCACAACCCTCTTTGTTTTGTTGTTGTTGTTGTTGTTGTTTTTAAGAGAGGGCCTCATGTGGTTCAGGCTGGCCTTGAACTCACTATGCAGCCAGCCTGGCCTGGAACTTGCAGCGATCCTCCTGCCTCAGCCTCTCAAGTGCTAGGATTACAGGCGTGTGCCCCCATGCCCATCTTACAGTCTGTTTCCTCTCTGTGTAAAGACGAAGCCCACTCTGTCCTGCCGATCTCTGCCATCCTGATAAAGTCCTTGCAGTCTGGTCCCAGTGCCTGGCCACAAGTTCCCAGAAGTCTCATGTGCCAGAGGTCGGCATGAAGGTTACAGGCGCCATCCCTGAGGAGGAGGCCAGCTCTTCCTGAAGCAGAGGAAGCTCACATGGTGACACTGGTCTTGACAACCATGCCTAACTGTCAAGGGAGGGCACGCACTTGCAGCCTGGACAAATGGTGAGGAGCAATGCCCTTGGCAGAGACCTCTGCAGCCTCCCTTCTCTCCAGGGGTCCTGAGTCCAGTGCACCTGGCCACCCAGCGTGGTGCAGATTGCCTTTCGTGGCACTCGGGGTGGCTCCGGGCGCCAACCAGGCTACCTGCACTCAGGAGATGTGGACTCGCCTTGGTGGGTGGTGTGCTTGGGCCAATATTAGAAACGCTATAGTTCACGAAGGCCTGGCTGGAGGTGGCTTCATAATGGTTGAGAAAGGGATGAGTTTAAAACAAAAAACCGCATATGAAGCAAATGTATTCAGACACCTGGGGGCAACCACTCTGCAGAAAGACTGAAGGAAAACTAAGTGGCTGCCCTGGAACATGGGGCTGTGGGCTAGGACAGGCAGGCAGAGGGAGGTCACCTGGCTCAGCAGCCCTGCTGGAGCACTGGATTGTTCAGCCATGGGAATAGGAGGCCTCGAATGGAGTGGGCAAAAGCTAAGGCTCGCAGCTGGCCTAGTGTGAGCTGGTAGCTCAGCACTGATATGAAGCAGGGGAGGGGCCCACAGGGGTGGTCGGTCAGAGACAGCGTCTTAGAAGCAAACTGCCTGGGCCTTGGGGAAAGCACAGACAACAAAGAGGGGGCTGGGGAAAGGGATGCAGGAGAGAACAAACAGGGCGGGAAACACTGAGAAGGCCCAGTGTAGCTGCTGGCCTCCCCTGGTGGGCGTCGCCTGGGGCACCTCCTCCCCACTTCCTGCTCAGCTCTCCCTGGGTCCCCATCCCAGGAGCCAGGGTCTGAGCTCCCCCACTCGGATTCAGAGCCCCACATCCAGCTGCGTCCAAACAGCGCCCCTGGTCCCCGCAGGCGCCTCGGCTTCTGAGACACGCTGTGACGCTCTGGTCCCTGGGATCCTGCCCCTGTGACGCCGCCTGTGACCCCGCCTGGCCTCTGTCCACCTCCGCCCCTCTCCCTGGAGGGAGTTGCCTTGCCCACCAGGACCACCGGACCCTTCCTTTCCTGGGCTCCCACAGGACTTGCTGTCCCGTGCCGCCTGCCCGGGTGGGTATTTCCCTGCAGGGACACCTTATCTCTGGGTTGCCACCTTGTAGTGGAGGCGGAGGCATCCAGACAGGTGGGGGACTGCTTTGCGGCTTCCTGAGGCCGCGCATAACTCCAGCGCTTCAGGAGGCGCGGCGATCCAACAGTCCTGGGTTCCCAAGGCCGCCCGGACCAGGGTCAACCTGAACACATTTACTCTCCTTCTCACTCCCACCCCTCCCTGTCACGGAACCCTGCAGTGATTCCTCTGGTTTAATCAAACTAGAAATACGAGTAGCATCAAAAATATCCCATCAGATCGTATGATTGTTCCAGCCAAGCAGGTGCCGGTCCTGCCAGTGAGGCGCAGTTTAGAAGAGAGTCCCAGCAGCTCCTAAGACCTTGGTATCAGTGGAGGCTGAGGATTCTCCCTTGGGGAGCCCAGGGAAGGAACTGGGGACCCTGGGGCGCGTACCTGGCTGCTGGAACATCAGCATGTTCTGCGGAGACGTGTGCACGGGCAGTGAGCGGGTCCTCTGCACTGAGCTGTGTGTGCGGCTGGGCATGCTGTTGCTGCCACCGGGGTTGGCGAACCAGAGGTTCTAGGAGAAACACACAAGGGGGCTGCTAGTCCAGGTGCCCAGGGTGGGGAGCAGGGCCCAGCCAGAACCCAGGGCGGAGACTGCAGGAGAGCTGGAGGCCCTGCGCCTGCTGGCTGGGTCCTGGCCTGGCTGGCTCACGCTCTCCCCGGGCCTTCGGACCTGCACTGCTCCACATCTCTGGCTTCTCCTTGTCACTTTTCTAGGAAGTGGGGGCCTGGGGAAAATGCTGGCAATGAGCAGCGCAGTCTCTTTTCAAGGGTCTTGTTTGGTTTTTCTTTTTGAGATTCTTGCCATTTACTGGAGGGAGAGGGAGAAGAACAGAATTTCTGAGCAGCAACAGGCAGGCCCCACTCAGAGCGTGTGTTCGCACAGTGACTTTGCCTTGGATGGATCTGGGGTCCAAGAGCCTCGGACCCTTCCTGTCTCGCTGATCCCAGTGCCAGCCGGCAGGGCCATGGGACCACGAGGTCAGCTCTAGCCTGACCGTGACTGGCTAGGGACATTTCCTCTCTCGGCCTTATTCCTGTGGCTTCTCACTCACAGCTGAGAACCTTGACCGGAGAGCTATTTGTCAAGCCTGTGATCCCAGCACTCTGGGAGGCTAAGGCAGGAGGTCCTTCTAAAGGTATCATGTGCTATCCTCTGAGGCTAACATGGAGCAGCTTGCTATGTGTGGCAGGGAAATCCCACAAACCACCATCCCTCACCTTGGGGTCATGTGGGGACAGTCTGAAGGCCTGGCCACCTTCCCAGACCCCGGGGACTGAACCAACCTGTCTTCCTTGTTTCATGATGGTGGGGTTGGCTGCCATGTGGCGCTGGTTGGAGCTGACGAATCCGCTGGCGCCCAGGAGGCCCAGGCGGGCGGAGGGGATGTTCCGAGAGGGGATCTGGTACTGGCGCGGGTTCCGCCTCCCCATGCCGCCGCCCACAGAGCCAGCCGTCGGAAGGGAGTTGGACTGCCCGAAGCCCCGGCTGCAAAAGGGAGAGTGCGAGACGTCAGTCCTCCCGGTCCTCCCCCGCCCCGGGTGCCGTAGGGGGACTGCCGGTCGAGCTCCGTGCCAAGGAGAGGACACAGTGGGTACAGCAGCTATAGAAGAGTGGTAAGTGGCCCAGGGCCTGTCCTAGACCTCAGCCCTATGGGGGACAGCAGTGATAAAAAATACGGTGGACATTTAAACTGAAAAAATCCTTATACAGGGAAAGCACACTGCCAAGGAGGATGGAATAAGTGTATCAAAGAGATGGAGAGTATTTGAGGGGGATGGATGGTAATGCGTCTTTTCTTCTAATACATTTTTTCCCACTATTTCTTTTTCTTTTTTTTTTTTTTTTGGTACCGGGGATTGAACTTGCGCAGCAGGCGCTGGAACCACTGAGCTAAATCCCCGGCCCTCCCACTATTTCTTGATCACTGTTCTTTGTTCAAACGTTTACAGCAGTTTCTGTCAAATAACATGACGCTGCGTCCTCATCCACCGTATTCACCGGATCTGGCACCATTTGACTTCCATCTCTTCCCCAAAGTCACAAGGATCACGAAAGTTCAATGTCCTGCATCCACACGCCACTAAAGACTCAGGAAAGGGGACTCCAGAGCTGCCGCGGAGAGTGGCAAGAACGATGGGATAAGTGTGTCTGAAGTGAAGGGGAGGATTCTGAGAGGGATGCATATTTTTGACTGTAATTTAAAAAAATGTGTAAGCATTCGCTGTCATCTTTGATCAGCCAGAGAAAGGAAACAGCTTAATAATTTTGCCAAGGACACACAGCCAGCAGGGGGCAGCGCCAGGCCAGGAGCCCCACAGGCTAAGCGGCACCCTCTCCTGCCTTCCCAGTCTGTCCACCTATGGGGCTGCATGCGGGTGAGGGCAGGGTGGCCTTTGAGCGGCCGTGACCGAGACAGCAGCAAGCTGGGGCCACCCCCCAGGGCACTGTGGTCCGTCTCTGATCCCTCTGCGTGGTGGCTGGGAGGGGAGAGGCTCTGGGACGTCCCTCCAACCTGGGTGGCCCACGGCCGATCAGCTCCTGCTGGATAACTGGCCAATGCATGATGTCTCTGCCTCCAGGAGACTGTCCAGAGGGGCAGTGGCCCCGTCCCGGGGCCCACAAATGATGGTGCTTGCAAGTGCCCCGGGGCCAGGGCACGCCTGTCCCCCATGCCAGGCCCTCCCCGCACAGGGCCGAGGAGGCTCCGCAGTCCCCTAGCCGGGCCGGTGAGCTCAGCGCTCAAGAACTCGGCTTCTCCACCAGGCCTGGTTCTGGAGGCTGCAGGCCAGCGGGGTTGCAGGAACCAGCACATTCTTTCCAAGAGAGTCAGCTTTAGTTACTGAGGTTGGGCCACTCCTGTTGGTGGCCGCTAGATGGGGCAGACCGGTGTGTCTGGATGGCAGCGGTGACGTAGCCGTGCGTGCGGGGCTCCCAGGGCCAGGGGCCTGCAGGGCAGTTTCCTGGGCAGGAGGGTGTGTGAGTGCGCATATGGTGTTGGGAAGGGGCGGTGCTGCTCAGCAAATGATTCTCTTCTCTCCAGGATTCCGAATTTCCTAGGGGGAAAGGGGGCAGGAAGAGAATTCCAGTCTGTGCCTCTCCACTTCCAGGCTCCCAGGGCCAGGGAAACTTCTGGTTTCCCGCTGGATGCTCACCTCACCAAGTTCTCAGTCTCTGAGCTGCTCATGGGTTGGAGACTTCTTTTTTTGGTACTGGAGATCGAACACTGGCTTGCGAGGCAGGTGGGGGAACCACTGAGCTAAATCACTGGCCCTGGAGACTTCTGATGTGAGGGAAGAAATGCAAGCCAGGAAAGGGCAGAGCGACTTCAGTGGGCAGTTTCCTCTGGGGGATGGTGCTCCGACGTCCTGCAGGTGGTGACAGGGACCCGGGGCACCAGGTGTTGTTTCCTAGCTGACGATCAGTCTGTGGGTTTCTGGAGTCAGGAGTTTGGCCACCTGGTAGCTGATTCAGTACTCTGTTAAGATCTTTCCTTAGCGTGGATAGCTTTTTCTCACTTTCCTTTTTGGCTGGATTTTTAAAACGTTATTTCATATGCAAAACAGCAGTCAAGGAGTGTTGCTAAAAAGGATGTATGCTTCCAGGAAGGCTGCTTTTTTTTGTTTTTTGAGACAGGGTCTTGCTTTGTAGTTCAGGCTGGTCTTGAACTCACGGTGCTTCTCTGGCCTCAGCCTCTCCGGCGCTGGGATTGCAGGCGCACACCACCACACCTGACATATTCTTAAGCAATATAATGTAGAGAGGATTCTGAGATAGGATGATCACTCAGGAAATGAGGGACCCCGGGAATCCTAGAATTAGAACTTGGCTATTTGGGACAGGGGAACAGGACATTCTGGGGTGGGGGGGATTTGCTGAGCACCCCTAAGCCCTTAGAGTGAACGCCTAGGTTACTTACATCGCTAGGCTTAAAGACATAATGATGTTTTCCCGGGAGGCAAGAAAGTGACAAAAGTAAGGTTTCCTTTCTCATCTTCTTGTTCTGTCCCTCTCCAGATCTAACGGAGTCCATTACCTTATGGTGCATGAAAAGACACTGATAAAGCAACATTAATAAGCAATTAATTTGGGATTTGTGATCATTCAAGCAGGGGCTGGGCTGCAGTTACCTTTTATTACTGGAGAAGTAGGTCTTTCAAAGCAAATTAATAGAATAAAAAGATCCCAGAGGAAATACTTAGAAGAACAGTTTCCAGGGTTTTAGGGACATCCAACTGAACATCCACAGTTGGTGACGGAATCCATTCTTGTCAGTAGAAAGGGATCTGTCAGGACCTGACCTGGAGTACCGGGAGAGCCTAGTCCAAGCCACAGCTGGTGCCGCCCTGGAGAGGTCGGGGTGAGCTGCCCGTGCCGCCCCCGACCAGGGTTGACAGAGCCAGGGACTCTGGAGAGGAGGGGCAAAGAGCTTCAAGACGCTGTCTTCAACTTCAGCCTCTGAACACCTCCTTCCTCTTGAACCCCACCTCCCCAGGGCCTGGTGCTGAAGAGGTGGGGCCTCCTCCGGTTACATGGGAGATCGTGGTGCGGTTAGGAGGGGAGAGCACATGATGCGTGAGCACCCAGCATCCCCAGTGATGGTCTTGCCCCGGCTACCAGGGCTGGAGTCCTGGAGCACTTGGGTCAGGGCACCAGCAATAGCTTTGCTGGATCCGCTCTTTCTGCACATCAGCCTGAGATCACGAGTGTCGCCCGGCTCCGCCGTGGTGCAGAGGCTCTGTCCAGGGCTGGCGCTGGCCCATGACCACTGCCTACCAAGCCATCTGTAGACTGAGGTCCATCCCAGCAGCCCTATGCCATAGGGCTGTCACCAGGATGAGGCTGCGTTAAAGTGCTTGGCACATAGTATGTGCTAATAAATGTTTGCCTAATAAATAACAAGTGCTACTGTGATAACACTAGTTTTTTTTTCTGGTATCGGGGATCAAACTCAGGACCTTGTGCTTGCAAGGCAGGTGTGATGTCACTCAGCTAAATCCCTGGCCCCCGATAACACTAATATTTAAATAAATCTTGCATGAAGACCTTTCACAAACTCCAGCTGGTCTTATTTCCTTTAATACAAAACAGTGATGTTCTAAGGCACACTTATGCAAATAAATGCCCCAAATTTTAATAACACAGATCTACATATGCAGAGAAATGAAATGATTTCAGAAGCCACTAGGTGCGAGTGAAGAAGTTTTTATCTGCTCATGTTTTAAAATGTAACATGGAACGTGGATTATTTTCAGGGTATTTGCTTTTCCATTCCCCAATGACTCCCTGTCACTGTTTGTTTTGTTTTTGGTACCGGGGATCGAACTCGGGTCCTTGCACTTGTGCAGCAGGTGGTGGAACCATTGAGCTAAATCCCTGGCCCCTCCCTGTCACTGTTTAGCACTTAACCCTCCCCGCTTCACTTCGTTTCTCCTGTAAATCTGCAGTTCACCTTTAATATGCAACCAGATCCTCAATTTAAAGCCATATGAAGGGAACAGATTCTAAGTACAAGCAGGCTTATTTTTAACTGCAGCCAAGACGCTGAAGTACTATGAAAAATCAAGAATGGTACTGGCTCCACTATTAGACCTCGGCTCAGACCAAAATAGACCAGCACTGGGCTCTTCACCCTGCCACCAACTATAATTAGCTTGTCTGCAGCTAGAGAGGGAAAAAAATTATACTACCACTTAAGGTGCTGATGGAAGAGCCCATTTTTGTCCTCCCAGAGCCCCCTTTGGCGAGTCAGCCACCTGTGCTCTGCGGACACCCAGGAACTCACCCTCCACTTGCTCCCTGAGAGCCTTTCCCCAGCCCCTCGTGTTTAAGGAATGTGGCATGGAAGCATCCTCATGAGCAAGAATGATGTCCCTTCCCTGTCCCAGGAACAGGGCAGGCAGCTGACATATTGAGGAACCGCTGTGCATCCCGAAGGATGAAATCTCAACTTACTTTCTTTGCTGTCGATACCCTGATATGTCCAGGAGGGTTTTCCGAGGGAAAGACCGGAAAAGCTTCTGCACCTGCTGTTTCCATGACAACAATCTTTTCTTCTGCGTCTCTGTGAACGCCTGCAAAGACAAACAGGACTGTTAAATGGGCGAGACAGCCTGGCAGTAGAGGAAGAAACATGCAGTTAATAGAGGGAAGCACGAGCATCTCTGCAGTTGCCTTTTCTTCACCTGTTTTGAGTCTGGTCCAAGACAGCAGTCAGTGTAATTTGAGAGCCACCTGTGTGGAGGATTTGCGTTATTTGGCATTGGGGGCACCTGGTAAGGCAGATGTGTTATGCTCTTGACAACCATCGTTTCTGGCTGCATTTGGGCAGATCTGTGCCCACCTTCCCCTCCTCTGACTGCTCTCTGGACCATTGTTGGTCATTAACCCAGAATGAATCACAAAATTGATTGTTGAATACCCCAGACTTTGCAGGCTCCCTGCATTTTCATCATCAATAGAAAGTGTAAACCACTCCACAAATCAATCTGCTTGATGGTGCGTGGTCATGCTGGAGGGGTCCGTGGGGCTTCAGAGCATGGAGCAGCTTCTCTGCGTTTTGAAGTTTTGCTGAGAAATCTCTAGTTAAGTGGCTCTGTGTCCTACAGAAAACCCCAGTGCACCAGTCCTGGCCGAAACGGAGATCTGATGTCTTCTCAGGCCTTTTCTAGTGAATTGGTGTGTAGGTATGTTTTGCTCACTGTCCCATATACATCTCTACATTGTGTGTCCTTTACGTAGAGCCTGGGAGCTCCCCACAGCCCAGGGTCATGAGTTCCCAAGGCAGGGACTCTCAAATTCACAAGATATTCAAATCAGCCCAGAGGCCCCGCCCACACCCAGAGCTGACTGCATAGATCTGGAGGGATGTCTGGGACACTTGTATGTACAGCAAGTGCCCTTGTGACTCAGCAGGTGCAGCACAGATGCGTGGAGTCCCAGATGGTAAGGAGCCCAGGTGATACAGGGGTCCCCTGCCAGGTGCCTGGAGGTTCGGACTAGCACACATACTGTGGAAATTCACCAGACTTGATTAGCAATAACGATGATGGAGATAACACTTCCAAGTAGCTTTGTCAGTAGGGCATGAAATCCTTTTAAGTACTGTAGTAATAAATATTAGAGTGACTGACTAAGAGACTCCTTCCCAAAAAGGAAACAGATTCCTTAAATGAAGAAAAAACCGACAGCTTAATTTTCCATGAGGATGCTTAATCTTTTAAGGACCTAAACACGGGAGAGCTCTGTAGACAAAAGCAAAGAGCTGTTGAACACACGGTGACAATGTTACTGACGATCCTCGAGGAAGCTCCTTCCTCTTGTGCACCCAGATGCTGTTGAGGGTGTTCACCAAGGAGGGTGACCCAACCGCAGGACTCAGTACCCTACTAGAGGAAGAGGTGCACCCCAAGGTGGTTTCAGTGGCCTCAGAGCTGGATGGTGAGGATGTGGTCTTCCCTGGCCCCTCTCCTGCAACGACTGGGCAGGAGGCAGGTGTTTCTCCTACATCTACACAGGAAGAGGATGGAGTCTACTTTTGACCAGCTGAATGCCAGATGTTGAGGACACCAGTTGCACCTGTGCTGGTCGCCATGGCTTGGGGAGCAGTCCAGCCCTGTGTATCTGAGGAAGGCTCTAGATGGAGACGGGCAGAGCCTGGGTCCCTGCACATCTTCTGCCAGCTGGGTATAAAATTAATACCTTGCTCTGAGAGGTGCCACGCAGGTGACAGGAGACACCACCCAGAAAGCACCGAGCATACTTAGAATGCGCGCTTAGTCACAGCACCACACACGCTGCTGCCAGCCGCCCTTTGGGGTGCTCAGTGCCCGTTCCTCACACGTGGTGTTCAGCAGTGACCTTCAGCCCCAACAGCAGCGGTCTGACTTCACAGCCTCAGTACCACAAGACAGAGCTGGTCTGAAGCCAGAAGGACCACTGGCCTGCTGCGTTTCCAAGTGACAAGGGAGAAAACGGCTCACTTCATAGGTGTCCTTCCAAGGATGTCATAACGTGCAACATCTCCATGGTGGCCAGTGTGGGAGGGAATGGTTACGAAGCTAGCTCACAGGACATCCAGGCTTCCTTAAATCAGTTTGGGGACTTTAGCAGAGCTGGGTGAGGTGCCTGGCTCTTCTCCGCTGGACAGTATCAGGCCAGTCAGACTGTGGCAGCCCCAGGGACTTCTGAGAGCTGGTTTCTGTGTCTTCAGAGCTGTGCTCTGTTATGGGCCTCGACTAATGGCCGCGATACCTACTGTCTGACTACAGTTCCCCACCGGCAGCCCTGAGTCAGGCCAGGGAGCAGCTAAGTGGGGAGTCTGGAGGAGAAGAGTCCATGGCTACAGACTCCCCAGATAACCATGAGCCAGCCAGTTAGCGAGAAGATTTTGTTTTTTCAGTGAAAAAGCCAGGACTTTGGAACAGTTGAGTATTTCAGAGTACAGCTTGTCTGAGCACCCCACCAGCTCCACTGTGCTCACACGGTGACAAAGGACTTTGGCTGGCCAGCCGCATCAGGCACACGAGAGCTCACAGGGAAGAGGGGGGAACTCGGGGAGCAGCTATGATGGCCCCCAGAGGGAGGCGTGTGCCTGTCCCTCCACCAGGGTGGGCGGCATCAGACCAGGGGACAGACCTGTCTCTAAGTCTTGCTTTTGGTGGAGGGTATATGTGCCCAAGGAACTGGATGCCCAGACCTGGGGCCCGACTCCCTCTCTGTAAGTATCCCCGAGGGGCAAACACCAGCTGTGTCTGAGGGTCTGGCAGGAACCAACCCGGCCTGCCTCAGTCTCCCTCAGGGGGACGAATGGCAAATGCAGTTCTGACACAAATCACAAATCCAAACAGCCATCAGCTGCCAACCCACAGCACACGGAGACAGTGAGCTATTGTAGAAGCTCCGAGGAGCACCGCTAGGCAGGCAGGACACTGGTGTGGCAGTGGGGCGACTCACCTCGTGGATGAGACACTTGTCGATGAGCTGCAGGTAGGAGCTTATGTTCTCCTCGTCGGGCCTGGAGACCAAGAGCTGCGTGCACACTGGAGGAAGCAGTGAGGGGGAATCAGAAAAAATCCAAAGCCACTTGCACCGCGGATGGATTGCATGGAAGGGCCCGGAGGCCCCTCCATTGCACTGCAGTGAGGGCTGTAGGACCCTGTCCAGGAGCCCCTGGGTGCGTCCCCCTCACTGCAGCCTGTCATGCCTCCTCCGGGAGCAGGTGGACACCAGTTCATGAGCGAGCGGCACCTCCCCTCTGGCGAGGCGGTGGCGCTGTCAGGCTGCCAGGCGTGTGGGCAGCACGGGAAACCTGCCACTCAGACGTGCAGGGGGATTTTCTGAGGGATGCACTCATTCTACACACATGGTTCTCCCACTCTCAAGGAAGTACTAGGGCTCTGGTCGCACGCAGGCACTGGATTCCGCACGACTGTGTCCAAGGCCCGCCCTGTCCTCGTCACGTCAGATTAAGCTGGGAAGCTGGGCACCGTTTCTGTATCCGGTTCCTTCCTTCCCCTAACCAACCTGGCCCGAATCCCGCTTACTTCACGTCTCTGGACACAGGTTTTCAGTACTGCACTGTTTGGAAGAACAAAAACTCAGAAGCCACCGGATGTCTCTTGATAGAGGGGGACTTTGTCAAATTAAGCACGGCTCCCTAAGAAAGGCTGTGCCCCCTCGGGAAGGGGCACCAACCCCGTGTCACCCACGGGGCCAGCAGGGCTCCTCTGACCACTCCAGCCCCAGGGAGGCTGAGAGCTCCTTCTGAGCCTGAGCTTTGGGGTCTAAGTCTCTGCAAGGACTTATGGGGTGGGGTTTCCCACTGCAACTCTAAGCTCAGAAGTCCATTTCTTTTGGTGATAGCTTGGTTCTTTTAAATGATCCAGAATATTGGACAAGAAAGGAGGAAGCCGCTTCCCCATTCCAAAGGAAAAGTACTGGCATTCTCCACATTTAAAAAATAATTTAAGAGTTCTGATGAAACATCCCACCAAACACAACATTCTAGCGCTGGACCATGGGGAGCTGGAGGCCAGGCAGACAGCAAGGGCACTGTCACCTGAAGGGCCACTTGGGGATCACAGCCGCCCCGAGATGTCACGCGCACGCAGCAGGCTCCTCCTGTCAGCCAGGTACTGTGCGACCCGTGGGGTGTTCAGGGCCCGCGGAAAGTGGCTGGCAGTGCTGTGGGCGAATGGGGTACAGACAAGCACTTGGATGGCTGCAACCCAGGGTGAACCGGGCAAAGAAGGGCTGTGAGAGCCTCACTCGGCCCTGGGGTCAGGCAGCCTTACCAGCCCAAGGAGGACTCAGCTGAGACTTGGAGGGCGAGGAAGCAATGACGCAGGTGAAGAAAACGGTGAGGGAAGGAGGGCTCAGGCAAGGCTGTCACATTACAGATGCACAGGCTGGGCACTGCACAAGCACCTTCCGAGGTGTATGCCGTCAAGCCACACCACCGGATAGGATGCCATTGAGGCTTCCCATGGGGCAGGAGGGGCCCTGGTTCCAGACAGAGGGAGAGTAGGCAGGAAGCAAGAAAATGTACATGTTGCCGAGACACCTTCGGCCTGCGTGCCTCAGTTTCCTCCTCAGCAGGATGGGTTATTCCAAGGATTAAGCACACCACCCTTCCTATCTCCAGGGCCCAAGGCCCACGGAGATCGGCTGAGGGGTCAGGAACCCCAGCCCCCTCCTGCCTATGAGTCAGCACAGGCAGGCCCGGGGCACTCACCTTTCCCCATGACACGCGTGAACTGCCCGGGAAGGTCACCCTCTGGCAGGGGCGCCACGGTCAGCTCCCCGTCGCAGCTGCTCAGCTGGTGCAGCTGCAGCCCTCCGCTGGCCCCGGCCGTGGCGCTGGCTGAGGCGCTGGTGGCCACTGCATCCTTGCCGTCAGGGCTCGGGCTCTCGGGGCCCAGCAGGGAGGCCTCCCGGCGGCGTGCGTCAGTGGTGGTGCTCGGGGGGCTGTAGGCCTTGATGGGGGTCAGGATCATCTGGTGCAGCTCCTGCAGTGGGATGCGCAGGCTGCCCCCCTCGATGATGTCCTGCGGGGAGAGGAGAAGACTGCATGAGGCTCGGGGTGGGAGCCTCACTCGCCAGCCTCCCTGTCTCTTGCTGTGTTCCACTGGCCCTGGGTCAAGATGCTCTTTGGAAAAGTGGCCAGTGTAACCCGTAGCCTCAGCACAGTAGAAAACCTGGGAGATAGATTTGCACAGTTCGAAAATCCCTATCACCTGGAAACCTTGCTGTTAGAAATGACGATCCTCCTGCCTCAGCCTGCCAGCGTGCTGCATTTCTTACATTACACTCACACACTTTATAAACTGTGTGACAATGTGGGGCCAGAGTGTGGCTGGCAGCTTGCTCCTGCCTTGTTCTAAAGAAAGGAACTGGGTCACGCACACCTTCCCTCAGCCCACGATGCCACCAGCACAGGTGATGAAGACAGGCACAGGCTCCAGGGCCTGGAGGGACAGGGGTCCTGCAGCCGGATCATAGCGACTGCGGCGTTAGAATTGATTCCGAATGAGACAGAAATTAGGGAAGCTTATTAGCAGGGAAGAGACAGGTCCTTGCACTTTCAAGGCAGGCGCCGGACGGAACAACTGAGCTAAATCCCCGGCCAGAAGACACAGTTTTAAAGGGAGGATTCTGGAGGGAAATACATTTAATGTATAGTATAACAGAATGTATAATTATTATATGCAGTGTGATTAAAATATACAGTTAAATTAAAAATACTTAGTACAGTAAAAGACATTGCCATGAGTCCCCCTCAAGATCCTCCCCTTTTCTTTAAACACACATATCTCATGGTTCTTGCCACTTTCCGCAGCAGCTCTGGAATCCTCTTTCTTGAGTGTCTTTATGGGGTGTGATTAAAAAATATAGTGAATGTTGCTGCTGAGCACCATCCAACAGAAAGGCAGCTCATAAAAACACAATGCTGTGTCTTCCTTCACCTTAATCACCGGATCTGGCTCTTCCCCAAAGTCAAAATGACCATGAAAGGGAAATGTTTTAAATCGATTCAGGACACTGAGGCAGCCAGCACAGTGCAGCTAAAGACACTCAGGACAGGCCAGGGGCTCAGAGTGTGGCAGGGGTCAGCCCAGGGTCTTCTCTGGCTTGCTGGGTGGGCTGACCCCTGCCACACTCTTCTGCAGGGCCAGCTCTTCCTGTGACCCAGGAAGGACACTGCCAGCCAGGGCCCTGATTATTAATGAAGCACTCAATCTTTGGAGAGCTCAGAGGGTCATAATATATATATA